TTCCCCTGTCCCCACTTAAACCATAAGAACTTTTTCTTGTAAACCCATCAGTACTCCCATGTAATGTCTGTAAAGACAGTTCATAGTTACTTTGGCTTTTGCTGAGAGGCTATCTGGAGAGAACACAGTCCAGCAAATTCTGTACCCTCATCCTTCTTCAAGACAGACAGCATTTAGTTGTTCAAAGCCTGGAACATTAGTCTAAAAACTGACAAGGAGCCCTCCTTCAAACCCCTCCAGAGACCCTTAGAATCAGTGACTGGTCTCAGAGACGGAGGACACAGATTCAGAACTCTAGGCTGTAGTGGCTCAGTGAGATCATTCAATGACATGGTTTCTACAGGAATTCAAGGGAGGAAGCAGCTACTGCTGCATACGTGGATTGACACAGGGGTTAGCCTGTATGAAACTTTTAGACAGAGCCTTCTAGGAAGAAAAGTAGGATAGGGTATTCCAGGTACAGGGGAACTGGAGTAGACATTGAGATTTTTGAGGTGGTATGACATATTTAGGGAATAGCAAGCAGACCAACTGGGGCAAGAAGCAGGCGGTGAGCACCACAGAGAGGTTGTGGTCAAGTTGTGAAGTCTCAAGTGGCTTGCAAAGGACATGCAAGAGAGGGTTGTCGTTTAGAGCCCCAGGGATGTGGAAAATGGATTAGAGGGAGGAGGGGACTCTGAGAGAGCAGCAGACGCTACTCTGCCCCTGTACAAAGCCTCAAGTAACAAAGAGGCGGGAGTAAGGGCATCTGGGTTGTTGCATGAAAGGAGTAATGAGAAAGTTCTATGGGTTTTTCTAGGCTTAGCATCTCTGAGAAAGCTATAAAAATATAATACTCTATATTTGCAGGTAAGCAAGCCCCATATTTTGATTTGAAAAGTAATTAAATTAGTCTGTCATTTACACAAATCAATAAATATAGATTTCTTAGGAAAGGTATGATAGGAAAAAGACATGTTATTAACAGGAATGCCTTGCCAGGTGGCAAAATCTAGGGATTACAGCAAAAAAGGAGCGTGGGCCTCCATAGGCCCCACGGTTCTCTCAGTGGGTGAACTCCTTCCACTAGATCAGAATCAGATCACGGAAATGCAGTGGTAAATCTAGAAGCCTTTGGACCTGGTAAAACTGTCTGTGGGCGGTTTCAGGTGTTTCTTCAGGAAGAAACATTTTCTCAGGAAGCCAGAGAATTTACATGGGGCAAATGAATGTATGTGCTCAGAAGTCAAGATAACGCCTTCTAGAAAACTTGTCCATAAACTAAAAACAGCAAAGCTAGCTAAATCAGTAGTGAAAGTTGAAGTCCTTTTTTTTTAGCAACTAGAGACATCGTCTTTCATGCATTCATTCAGGTCTTCACCAACATGTCTGTGTGTG